AAATGCCTCCCGAGCAAACCTTGCACTGGTAACATTGAAGCGCATTTTTGGCCAGTTTGACGGAAGAACTTTCCATACGATCTTCAACAGTTTTATTCGTCCCCATTTAGAGCACGGAAACATAGTATTTCTTCACTCACTCCAGAAGGATAAGGACACTCTGGAGCGTATCCAGCGGCGAGCCACGAAGTCATTTCGAGGACTCAAATGTAAACCTTACGAAGAACGCCTCCATTCACTAGACCTTTACCCATTAGAGTATAGGCGTCTTAGAGGTGATCTATTAATGGCTTATAATATTCTTAACACTTCTGGACATCCTCTTAAACACCTACTTAAGCTTAGTTCGGATAATAACCTAAGGGGTAACACCCTTAGAGTACTGTATCCAAGCAGCTAGCCCGTGTCTGGTAAAGGATACTAACTCCCTTGAGCGTGTCCAGCGTGTGGGAACGAAATTAGTGAAGGGTCTTTCTAGACTCCCTTACGATGAGCGTTTAAAACGCCTAAATCTTTTCCCCTTGTCGTATCGTAGGACGCGAGATGATCTTATACTGGCATTTCGTATCTTTAATTATGATTCGGGTGTTAATATGTCTTATGTTTTTGCTCCCTCCAGCACTAATAATCTCCGCGGTCATAGCAAGAAGGTTCATAAACCAAGATCTAATAAACTTAAAGTGGGGTTCCGTTTGTCTCATCGAGTAGTCAATCATTAGAACGCCTTACCCGAACAAGTGGTATCAGCCCCATCAGTGAATACTTTCAAGGAGAAGCTGGGCCTTCACTGGAAAGCAGTGCGTCATGATTAATACAGGTTCATCAACCTACTATCCTTGTTGCTGAAGACTGAAGAATAGAGCCTTTGACGGTCACCCGGCTCACTCGAGGAAAGGATTCTAAGCATCTAAATCACCCGAGGCTTCTCCGAGTAACACTTAAGAATGCTACCGACGTAGAGGACGTCTTGCTAGCAAGTCACTTACTGAAATCAGATGGTAACGTAAGAATATTGCCCGACACACCGTACTCTGAGCGCAATATCATACGAAACGTCCCTAAAGAATCTCGTGAGAAGTTCTTCCGCGGAAGAAACATAATTGTCCAAGGTATACCGGAAAATGCAGACCCTACTCAATCAAATTCTGACATCAGGGAATGGAAATTCATCAAACAGTCCTTGAGGCTCAAACACATACTGACTCAGCATGTGACGAGACTAGCCAAGAAGGACGGTGATCTTAGACCCCGTCTAATGAAGATAACCTTCCCATCTTCCCACATGGCGGCTGCAGTTCTGGAAGCATTTCGTGCTAATAGACGTCGATTGCCACCTGGAATCCACATGCACCCGGATAGGCCATACGAAGTCAGGACCAAGAACAAAGGCAAGCTGGAGCTGACCATTCCACTTGTGGACTGTCTAAACGATAAAAAAAACGTGTAAAGGACAGGGCCTACCACCTCGGCAAACCTCATATAGGTGGGCTACCTGTCCATTCACATAAGGTTCATACAGAAAAACAGGACGAAGCTCATGCGTTCCAAATTGAAAGCATAAACTGCTTATATACGAACGCCGCGAGTTTACCAAACAAACTGGATGAACTACGTGAACTTAGCAACGCTAGCAAGGCCCATCTGATAGGAATATCTGAAACCTGGATATCTTCTCAGTTCTCGGATCAAGAGTTAGCATTACCTGGAATGACTTTGTTCCGCAACGACAGAAAAATAGGAATTGGGGGCGGAGTAGCCATATACATTAGCTCTTGCTTGGAGGTGCACCAGGTTCACAACCTCGAGTTTAACAATCTTGAGGAATCCATATGGTGCTCTGTAAGGTTGTCTAGTACTTCCAGGTGTCTAGTCGGAGTCATTTACAGGAAGCCAACTGCCGACACCGAGTACGATAGTCGTATGCTGGAAGGACTATCCCGCTCTATCCGTCTCGGTTTCACACACATCCTGATTCTAGGGGACTTTAATCTCCCTAGAGTCAACTTCGCGGAACACACGTACACTGGAGGCGACAACTCAACTGAAGCTCGGTTCTTCAACCTCATCGATAACTTGGGCTTATATGAAAATGTGAGGTCGGCAACCCGTTGGAGAAACAGTCAGACACCATCGCGCTTAGACTGTGTATTCACTAACGAAGAATTCCTAGTCGACAACCTCTCAATCCTGGCTCCTCTGGGAAAAAGCGATCATGCCGTCATAGCCTTCAGTTTTGTCATCAAAACTAAGCTAAGGTATCCCAACAATAATTTGCGATGGAATTTTAAACGGCTGAATGTGCGAGCTCTACATGACCATCTACAACAGGTGGCTTGGGATGTTCACCCTCAAATCGATGTGGATGGTCATTGGGACTTCTTGCTGCACACGCTCTTACGTGCTACAGACCATTCAGTTCCTCAAACGGTTCCCAAAAGCTTCAAGCCACCTACAGTAATCAAGAACCGTACCCTTCGCCTCCTAAGCCGCAAACGGCACTGTTGGGCGGAATACAAACGAACTAATAACGATGGAGCGTATAGGCAATACAAACATATCAGGAACACATGCACGAAGGCTATAAGAGAAGACAGGCTTCAGTACCAAACAAAGCTTATGGACAAATTCGCCTCTAACCCTAGAAGCCTACTCCGTTATGCAGCCTCTCTTCGTCAAGCCAAAACAGGAGTTTCTCAACTGCTAGGACCTAACGGCCCGACCAACAACGATGGCGACGCCGCCAACCTTCTGGCGGCCCATTACTCTCAAACATTTCAACCGGCTGATATCAACTTTATCGACGACAGTTTCATCTGCAATTCCACAGGACTTTCTGAAGTGGACCTAAGCGCTGACTTGGTGTTCCGGAAACTGCAGCACTTAAGACTTGACACTTCTCCTGGCCCGGATATGGTTCATCCTGCCATACTGAGGGAGGCAGCCTCAATCCTGGCAACGCCGCTTAGCGTGATGTTTTCACACTCGCTTAGCCGAGGCAAACTACCGGAAAATTGGAAGTTGGCTCACATCACACCAATTTTCAAAGGTGGTCGACGCAATGAACCTTCAAGTTACCGGCCGGTAGCTCTTCTGTCGTTACCTTCAAAACTCATGGAGTCCCTGATATGCGACGGTCTAAATGACTACCTACTGTCCTTAAATTTCTTCTCACCCCAACAGCATGGTTTCAGGAAGGGTTACTCTTGTATAACCAACCTGCTGACTGCGGTGGACAGATGGACAAGCATCCTCGATCGCAAGGGAAAGGTTGATGTCATTTACCTTGATTTCTCAAAAGCTTTTGATAAGGTTAACCACTTGTGTCTTATCAACAAGCTCAAACGACTAGGTATCAAACCACCTCTAATCGACTGGCTTACTTCATACCTAAAAAATCGACACTTTAAGGTTAGGGTTAATTTCACTTTATCTCAAGCTATGGAATGTCCTAGTGGGGTCCCCCAGGGCTCAGTACTAGGGCCTCTTCTCTTCTTGATCTACATAAATGATCTTCCTCAACAGGTAACGTCAGACTTATTACTTTTTGCCGACGACGTGAAACTTTGGAGAGAGATACGCAACCAAGACGATATACAGGCACTTCAAGAGGATCTGACTCGACTTCAAAGTTGGGCAGACGATAACGGACTTACCTTTAACACTTCAAAATGTAAAGTAGTCCATCTGCGACATGTCGCAAACTACAGTTACAACTTAGGAAACTCCTCTCTAGTAGTATCCCAAGTCGAAAAAGATTTAGGAGTCCTGGTGCACTACGATTTGAAGTCTTATGCTAACTGTGACAAAAATGCCTTCCGAGCAAACCTTGCACTGGTAACGTTGAGGCGCATTTTTGGTCAGTTTGACGGAAGAACTTTCCACACAATCTTCAATAGTTTCATCCGTCCCCATTTAGAGCACGGAAACATAGTACTCCCCCCCTCACTCCAAAAGGATAAGGTCACTTTGGAGCGTATCCAACGGCGAGCCACGAAATCAGTTCGAGGACTCAAATCTAAGCCTTACGAAGAACGCCTCCGTTCACTAGACCTTTACCCACTAGAATATAGGCGTCTTAGAGGTGATTTATTAATGGCTTATAGTATTCTTAACACTTCTGGACATCCTCTTAAACACCTACTTAAGCTTAGTTCGAACAATAACCTAAGGGGTAACACCCAGAAACTGGAAACACAACATAGCAAGACGGAATGTAGACACAACTTCTACTCCTTAAGAGTTGTCAAAAGCTGGAACTCGCTGCCGGCCGAGCTAGTCCAAGCGACTTCTCAGGAGTCCTTCAAGAGGCAACTTGACCTATTCTTAAGGACCAAGGACAGCATCGCACTATGATTTACCAATTTCTTTTCCTCTTTTATTGTTAACATACCTAGGTTCCTGACTGGAGGATTTGGTGATCCCCTGCTACTAGACACGGAAGCCTGTTAAGCGAAAGCTTCTTCTATTCCGTCCACAACCATTTGAACCATTTGAAACTGGAGGCACAACATAGCAAAACGAAAAGTAGACATAACTTCTACTCCTTAAGAGTTGTCAAAAGCTGGAATTCGCTGCCGGCCGAGCTAGTCCAAGCGACTTCTCAGGAGTCCTTCAAGAGGCAACTTGACCTATTCTTAAGGACAAAGGACAGCATCACACTATGATTTACCAATTTCTTTTCCTCTTTTATTGTTAACATACCTAGGTTCCTGCCTGGAGGATTCAGTGATTTCCTGCTACTAGACACGAAAGCCTGTTAAGCGAAAGCTTCTTCTATTCCGTCCACAACCATTTGAACCATTTGGGGTTTCGTTTCTCGCACCGAGTAGTGAATTACTGGAATTCTCTACTGGAACACGTAATATCATCAACTTCTGTTAATATATTCAAAACGAGATTGGACTTCCACAGTATCACAAACTGAAAGGATTAATATAGGTTCATAGACCTCCTATCCTTGTTACTGAAGACTGAAGGCATTGAGTTCCGTACTGAGACATTGTACATTGGCAGCGTCCTTTGGCGGTTGACGAACCAGTTTAACGAGTTAGCTTGCCCACGCTTTGTAAACATGGTAAGTGTTGTAGTCCACTTAAGCTTATGTCTTTAGCCACCAAAGCAAGCTTCGAAAGGTGGAAAGAAAGAACCGTCGAAGAAGCCTATGAAACCTAAAGAGGGTGGTGGGAAAGCAAAGAAGAAAAAATGGTCTAAAGGAAAAGTTCGGGATAAACTTGCTAATATGGTGTTGTTCGATCCCGCTACTTTTGAAAAGCTACTGAAAGAAGTCCCACAGTACAAGGTAATAACACCTTCTGTTGTGTCAGAACGGCTGAAAATTCGGGCGTCACTGGCACGTCATGCTCTCGAGGAGCTGTGGCGACGAGGTAGGTTTTCTCTCTTACTATCTCAAATCCCATGCTAGGTTCCATAAAAATGGTCTGCAAGCACAATTCACAACAAATATACACAAGAACAACAAAGACCGATTAGTTGTACAAATATATGTGTTTGGTACTCTGACTTCTTTTTCATGTATGGTTGAAACGGGGTGTTTACTGTTAAATTACATTTTGCTTAGGGATGAGACTAAATCAAGAAACAGTATTGGAAACATCTCGACTATTTATGGTCCCATATCTCCGCATCTATGTTCCAAAGTATCACAGTTGGATGCAAGATTCGTGGTTGAGAGCAAGTACATCTTCGGAACAGCTTACACTGGACGAGGTACCGTAAGTTATACAATCAATTACATACGACTTAGTCTCGTAGTGCATATGTGACTTAAAAGTTTAATTCGGAGTACTTTTAAGAGGTTAGATAGTGGGTTTTGAGTTCGTCATTCCGACTTTTACTTATGGTTATATTCGTGATAACCTATTTGGTGCAATCCGTTGTGATTTTCACCAAAACCTTAATTTATTATGATATCTACTGGTGAGACTCACTTTATTCACACATATCTACATCGATGCTAAACATAAAAGTATTATAGGTAATCTCGTCACGTCCCAAATATTTTTTCTAGTACCTTTTCGTTGCATAACATAGCTCAGTTGCTTAAATTTATAGTATGTATTCCTTTCTATCGTGCAATATTCGTAACGTTTGTACAGTGACCATGCAGTCAAGAATCTTTCTTTTATATTCCGTATAATCCAATCGGTCTGTGCCAATACACGGGTCGTGTTTTATTAGCAAGAATACGGTTCTCCAAGGGTATCACAATTGTTGCCTACTGTTTCGATTTTGAGAAGAATAGGAAGGTGTGTGGCCTATGGTGTTCTTTCAATTGGTTCAACTTCCTTTTGGAAGTGTCTACAGATGGAGTTTTAATCACGTGTTGAGGTAGTAAGCTACACTTGTTGATGATTTGATTCGAAAGTTGGTTGTCATCTGACAAGTAATTCGTTCTGGGCTTGTAAACTGTTTTAGTATTCTTGTAGAGTCTGTTTTGTGAGACAAGGAAAATGAGAATAAGTCGTACTCAGGTTTATAATTAATTTGAGAACTGTAGTTTAGTCCCCTCTGACTCGTCCGTTTGATAAGGGAAGTAGATTTAGTCTATCACACGAGGGCTTCACGGTTCTGGGTAACGGGCTAGTTGCGGCTCTTCGTACGTTCTCCAACAGTTCCGTGCATCATTTTGAGTAGGAGCTAGCCGATTGTATGCAGTACTCGAGTTTATGGGGAACGGACACCATATACGAAGTGAAAAAATGTTAGCAACGAAATGTTTGAGGGCTTTGCCTATTGACCATGGGGTTTTAAAACCTTTGGCAGCTATCGCACAGTAGTTTGGGCTGATGATGTTCAGGAGAACGATAAAAGCTCCACAACCAAACCATCAAGATCGGAGAACAAAACTCCATCAAAGTCATTCACCTGAGCTACAAGTCTCCACCATCTCAGGTTTTTGTACTGTGGTGGACTGCATCATAATGCACTAGACAACTCACATGTCTTCCGAAGGTCATTTCAAGATTCCGCAAAAACACTTCCATTCTTATGGACCTCCGCAACTTGAAGTCATCAGCATACAAAAAATAGGTTAAATTAGGCGAAAAATGCCAGTTAAATACAGAAGGGACAATATGCCCCAAAGTTGTACCCTGAGGCACTCTTCTAAGCAGTTTCACAGCTAGACAACTTCCTATTCGCTTCATACTGTCTGGTGACGCCCAACTAGGAAGTCCTTTTTCAACAAATAAAAATCGCCTCTCATCCCGATATCTGTTAAATTAGGTAACATTCAGTTGTGAGGAACTTTGTCAAGAGCCTTACTAAAGTCAATGTCGGTTGCATTGGTTAGTAACTTTTGGTCTTCAGGGGCGCACTAGCTACAAATAAGTTTGCGTAGCATAAACAACATGTTCTAAAACCTTGCTGATTCTCAGAAAGAACTCGGTTTTCGTCTAGATGCTTGAATAATTTTTGAATAGTCCTCTTTCGAATTTTGTCAATCACCCTGGTTATCCTTATGGGTCGATAGTTCTCGGGTGTGTCTCGTGTCTGTTTTGAAGCGCTGATCCAGTCTTTTGGTAATATATTTCAGCTTACTGATAGACTAAAACATGATCAATGGATTCGCGACAAATTTTGCCAATTCCTTTAGTCGTCTAGAATGTACTCCATTGGGTTCCACAAAATTTTTCCAGTCCCAAGCTTTTTCAGCAAATCAAAAATATCGAGTTCTTTAATCGTCAGTGTGTGGAGGGGTTTGTAGAAACTGTAGGGAAGGGCATCTCAATATGTTTATCGCAAAAGTAATTTTATAATACCTGAGCTTCACCATAATCGTCCGTCACTAGTGATGCAGTACTAGTGTCTACTCGTAATCCTAGTGTTCCTTCTCTTCTCTTAGTCCCTTGGTTTATATTCGAGTATAAGCGTTTAGAGCATTTTATAGAGTTCTTGGCAAACTCTTCTAGACGGGCGGAGGGTTGAGATGCAAATATTTTGGGCTTACCGAAATTTTTCGTCAGTACGAGGCAGCCTAAATCTCATGTTCTTGTACAGAGAAGAATGCGAACCTTCTCACTGAACCACCGTGAAGAGTCCCTCAGTGCAGTGACTTTTGTGTATAAATTTCAGAATATATCTAGCCGTCTTAGTAGGGATTCTAGTGTCCAATCTGTCAGGTGTACAATTCCTGTATATTTGTTTTCCAGACGTTTGGCTGACACATCGTTGTAGACAAGCTTATGGAAATCGAAGATTAGGACTTCATGGTAACACTTACCTGAGGGTGGCAGGTAATGGAGGTCTGTGACTTCATATTAGTATTGGGTCAATATGAGATCTAGTAAGGATAATTCTGAATCTGTGTCGTGCCTAGTTGCTTGTTCCACAAGTTACACTAGGGCGCATGTTATAACGGCGTAAACTAGTTTCTGTTCAAAAGAATCTTCCGACAACTTTTCCTCAGATTGTACTCGATCAGAAAGGCAACCTAATTTTATTCGATCATGATTTTCGGATAACTGTTTGAGTTGCCTGTGGGTCCTGGATTAAGACATGTTGCCACGCCAATCGTTACTTAAAATTAAGCAGTACCCCCCCGTTCTACAGTAAGTCCGATTGAGTGGGTCTCATCGTTTCGGTCGCTTTTCATGAAATGTGTCGAGAAGTCCTGTAACCAACAAAGTACTTACTCTTTTGACGCCGTCTGAAGTTTCTACTTTTTCTGTAAGAACAACCGCTTTTCTGCTGTGTTTTTGAGATTTCACTGTATTATCGTCAAAGCTGTAAAGTGTCCACAACAACAAAAACTTTTGCAGAACTGGAGTTGGTCTCGAATACTTCTGTAACCTACCGTAGGCTAATTTACACTCTGATTGGATGAAAACATCGACGGTCTCTGACTACACCCTCACTGGCTGTCGTATTCTCTAGACGCCTTTTAATATTTAAGAGCATAAATTGTTCGGCCTAACATAAAATAGTTGAAATATATGGTGAGTGGTTATAATAGACAATTTGCCACACAATCAAATCTTTTGATTTAATTGTACATGGTCTCTTAATCTAATCTACATAACTATGAAGGTTGCCTTGTAAGAGTTGTTTATCATCTCTGTCTTCAATAAAAACGCTATCGGTCTACTCTGACAAGAATTCTGATTTTGTATTTACTATTACGGCTCCAATATCATGTTAAACAGAATAATCCCAGGCAGTGTAATAGAATTATCATCTCAATTTCAGCGGACACTGCTTCAGTGAGTAATACCCAATTATTCTTAATAGATAATTCGTCAACTTGATCGATACGTTTATCGGAACAAATCGATAATCATAGTCACGTCCTAAAAGTAATACAACAGCTATGTCCGGATTATAAATTAAGAGCTTAATGGAATCCATTTCTCGAGCTTGATATCAGGTTTTAATACTGCTTAATAATTATTTTCACATGAAAGCTTTGTCAGAAAGTAGTCGTTAGCATATTCCCTTAACTAGCAACTGTATGATTGAAGATGTGTAATCGTACGGTGATTTACTAATTGACGATAAAAAATGTTGCTTGTCCCACTGCATACAATATTATTCAAAATCATCCATATAGTTCTATCTGCTCCATAATTCAAGCAAATATGGCTTAGCGTAGGGGAATTTGTGAGGATTGTAGAATTCTCATAGCTTGACTCACTATATGGTCTGAAAACCTGGAAGCACTAAATGATCATTTGTCCTATTACGGGACTCCGCATCAGTGCGCATCCAGGATTCGGACCCGCATTCTCGAACAGATTGAATTGTTTTCCTAGGCCTTGTTGTCAGATGATTCGTAATTTGTTTACAGGTATCTTACACCTGTTATCACTCGTGGACGGATAACACCGCCCACCAGGATTGGTCATCGAACTCTGTCATGGACATTCCTTTCCACTTGTCTTCAATTACTATTCATTCTTATAATGTTTGCCTCCGATTGCCCAAGCAGTGTATTACTTGGTCTTCCTCTCTTCCTTTTACCTTCAGGATTCCGTATTAGGGATTGCCTCATGATCCAGTTTGATGATTTCCGCAATATATGCCCTATATATCCTCAACGTCTTTCCTTAATTTCTTTTTCAGCTGGAAGCGGGTTTGTTCTTTCCCATAGTAGATTGTCGCTGCTGGTATCCGGTCAGCGGACATTGAGTATCTTGACCAGACTACTGTTTATAAATAATTGTGTCTTCTTGATGGTGGTTGTATTAGTTATCCAATTTTAAACTCCGTACAGTGGAACTGTCTTGACGCTCGTATTGAAGATTGTGACTGATCTTGGCTGACAGTTCTTTTGAGTTCCAGATATTCTTCAGTTGTAGGAATATTGCGCGTAATTTGTCAGTCCTTGCCTGCACAGATGCACCAGATCCTCCTTGTTCTTTAATGATGCTGACCAGACGCCTAAAAACTTTCCACCTCTTCTGCATCAAGTATGAGTGTGTTGGAATTGCCTGTGTTGTATTTTGGGGTCTTGCTTTTACTCTTGTATATGTTGGGGTCTGCTGATACACTGATAATCTTTATCTGAATTTGTTGCTGCATATTGGATAGGATAGCTAGGTTATCTGAGAAATACAAATCATCTAGTCGCATCGGAGCTGTCCATTGGATTCCGTGCGTCACCTCATTGTAATTCCCTCCTGTGTTTTGAAGAGTGCTTCGACAATTCTTGATCCATGAGATTCCCATCCTATCAGTGTTTTTCGTGCTTCTTTAGATAACATCTATGCAGCTT